GAAGACTTATTCAATTAAGGGAAAACAGCAAGGCAGACAGAAAAATAACGTAGTGAAAGAAAAAACACGAAGGATCTGCCAATGGTGCTCTCCAACCCTTTTTTAACTCCCCCCCCCCCCCCAAAAAAAAAAAATCTATCTAGATGTACTTTTTAAAAACCTAGGAATCTACACATTAGCTATAATTTAACATGTTGACAAAAACACGTCAGCCAAAATTTGATCAATTTAGGGGGAAACTCCAGATCTAACACACAAAAAACCCTGTCAAGGGTGAAAACGGTGAAATGGTATGCGTTTAACGCCCCTATCAACAGTATTAGGTTATTTAAGAGGCGGGACCTCCTAATTTAACGTCCGTCTCCGATAGGACCGCTGTCAAGGGTAGGAGAACTACTTAGGCCTACCTGTGTGAACATCCCCATCCGGAAGGAGCGCCCCCTCCATCTTGCCCTCCCAGAGCGTCCAGCCAGGCCCCCGAGGCGTCGGTGTGTCGCAGGTGGCGCTGTACGTCAAACAGTCTGGGCAACTGGTGCCTCACGGCGTCCATCAGCAGGATGACGGTGATGAAGAACAGGAGGAAGATGGAGAGGAAGTTGAGGCTGATGCGACGGCTGAGGAGGACGCCCACCCACCTCCGAGTGGATTTCCAAAGGCTCATTGTGGTCGTCGGGAGATTTGGTAAAGACGTAGGATACTACCAGACGTAGGGTACTACCAGGCTTAGGTATAAGGGCTAAAACAGCACCTGGACATGGATGGCTGGTGCCTCTATAAATAAATCATTGATGGTCATTGATGGTCACGTAGGTACACGATGGTAGAGAGACTCTGCGTCACGTGTTCTTGCCTGTTCCAGAATTATTTATCACTTAGTACTTCGGATCCGGGTTCGAGCCTCGGTTCGGACACGGATTTTTTTTTCGCCCCCTCCTGCAGTAATGGGTACCCGACTTCGAGTTGGGGAAGTAAAGGCGGCGTGGAAAGGAACTGTCCACCCTACCACAATACGTCGAAGGCCCAGGAAGTTGTCTCACTAACAAGGCAATCTCCAATGTCCGGATCGGAGGCGGAAACAACTTTACTTTAGTACTCCCGAAATGTGACGAGAAGAATTTCTGATGTTGAAGGACGTTGGTTTGTGGTTCTGTTCAGCAATAGTGTGTGGAAGAGCGGGTTTCAGCTCGTAAAGATTGCCCTTTCTACTGCAGCTGTCTGTTCGAACAACTGGCATTTGATAGCAATGCTTTGTATCTCATGACAAGTGCAGGAGAAGAGAAGATTCTTAGAAAAAATACCTTTGATTCTGGCTATATCCCATCTCCAACTACAAAAACAAACCCCAAATAATGTATAAATAAACAGAGAAATAATCTTTCGTCCGACAGGAGAGAATGTCTTATTTCAGTTGGGAGCTAACATATTACTGTGGATGATATGCTCCGTGTAGTAGCTTCATAGGGCTGTCCCTTAGTGGTATTACTGTCCAGGCTCACCATAACACTACCATCTACTATAACCACCGTGTCACTGGAATCAGTTCACTGAACATAAGGGTTTAAAATTGTCCCCGTTATTGATCACATGACGTTTTATAACCAAATGTCTGTTCAGTGCAAACAGTTTCAACTATGGAGCCAGCATCTCTTGAAGACAGCGTTACCATCATTAGCTTGCCGCAAAGCTTGTGCCGAATTTTAAATCTCTGACACAAGCGTCAGGCTGTCATTTTTACTTACTAAGAACTCTTGCACTTTTGGTACAGTATTTCTTTATATCTAAGCTATGCACCAATGCTTTAGTATTTCTAAAAGCATTTTTTAAAAATCAACTAAAACAATACTGTACACATGACAACGTTCACAGCCGTCGCGAAGTCCGTGTCATAGAACCAAGACCTCGGCCACAAAGTCAGCCACATCCCGGGCCATGTCGGGTCTCGTTGTGGCTAAAGGGGCCGGGATTCCCTGAAGTGGGCGTGCGTTCTGGCGTTTGGAAGCCATGGCGTCACTGGATGAGAACAGGTTGTGACGTCCGTCTAGTTCGGTAGCAGGAATGCTGTCTGTCCAAAGACCCTCCCATTATGAAGTGGCTTCAGTCAGCTGTGACATGGAGAAAAAGTAAAACGTTTAGTCAACAATTCCGATATAATTCAGGTCATTCTTGGGGTTAATGCAACGACCCAGATCGCCAGGGGCAATTCGGACAGTGCGTTATGATTATACACCAAAGCATCAAAGCTACATGCTCAGTATAATAATGTTCGTCCTTCTCTGACGAAGTATAACACTACTCCACAAGAGAATCAAACCTATGTCTTTCATGGGTTGGACGAAAATCAGAACCATTTCTCCACTGAATTTCTTAATTGTGATTGGAGATTTTTTCTAACTCCATCAATGAAATTACAATATTTAATTGTGATTCGAGATTTTTTAATGACCCCATCAATGAAATTACAATAATTAGGACGTGGGCTGTATTCACTATTCCTGTTAGTGTAAATCCAGGCTGAGAGGAATACAGCGTCCCAGCAGGCAGACGAGATCATCATCATCATCCAGTGCCAGATCTGCGACAGACATCGGCGATCATGGTTCTCCATTCATTCCTTTGCTCGGATGCTCTAAAAAAAAGCTACGTTTCCCTGATCTTTCCCTGTTACCCATTTGTTTGGATTCCCTTAGTATGTTGTTCTGGGCCTACCCCTGCATCATTTGCCTTCAAAAGACGGAGACACTTTATAAAAATACCTACAATCAGAACCCAACTCCCGCCTTTTACGTATGACGACAAAGCCCCTAACCACTACACCACACATGCCGCTGCTCTGGAACATCAAGAAGCCCAAACTTCATTTCCTAAAGCTACTGAATGATTTCAAATGAGATACGATAACATAAGATACATCTTTATTGTCCAGATCCTGGCACATTGGTTTGGTGTTTCACCACGCATACTCACACATACGAACACACACACACACACACACACACACGCACGTACACACATACGTACAATACAAACACACACACGTACACACATACGTACAACACAAACACACACACACACACACACACACACACACACACACACACACACACACAAATGCACACACTCGACACGCATACGTACGCACATGTGCACATCCATATACACATAACTCTCTCACACATCCTCTCCTCAACACTCAGCTGAGCACAAACAATTATAATACAATTTCATGATTGCACTCACAATTATGGCGCTCGCAACAGCATAAGGTCATATGAGTGCCAGAAGATTAGAGGTGTTACAAGAGAGTAACAAACATAAAAAAGAAAAAGGGGAGATAAGGACGATATATGTTTGATAGGAAATAAGAAGCAAACCACACCAGGGCACCCGCCAACCACCCACATTAATAGTTTAAAGCTAGATACGTACTCAGTATTCGGATTGTAACTCATAAGGATTCATGCTATCTCTCTAACAGGGCCCTTTCCTCCAACACAAAAGTCAAGGGTAAATAACACACATCAGAAATATCACTCAAGTCGCAAATTCAAGAAGAAGAAAAAACAACAGCAAAGATTTTGAGTCTAAGAGTACGAGACCTTAAAGCTTCCGATGTGATGATGAAGTAGACGCGACTGACTGCACAAGACAAGAGCTGGGCCTCTCTAATGTTCTTGCGTGCTGTCTTCCAGAATGGTGGAAAAGCGGATGTCGTGGATCATAAGAATGTCTGAGAACTAAGACGTGTTTGCTGAGAAGGACGTGCTTTCTTTTTCTTTTCTTTTTTTTTTTTGGGGGGGGGGTGGGTTGGAGAGATAAAACGAGGCATACTGTTTGAGGGAAGGCGAAAAAAGGAGGTGGGTGAGTGTGGTGAAGAGAGATAAGAGGAGGCTTACTGACTTAGGGAAGGAAAAGAAAAAAAGGGTGGGGGGCTGGGGTGTGTGCTTGAAGATCTTGACCGTAAAATTATGTAGACCCATCAGAGTATTGAATTTGTCCATTACTGACCACGAAATCGACACCACGAAGCCAACAGCCCCGTCTTTGAAGTACCAGCTGCCCTCTTCCACCTTCAGAGAAATGTCCCGATCTAAGTACCGAGCAAATACAGGACTGACGTGAAAGACCAGCACATTATTTGTCCAGTGGAAGCAGAAATGAATTTAGGCGTCGGATAGGTCCGGCAAATAGACTCGTGAACCAGAACAGTCGTGAGGATGAATAAAGAATCCAGCAGCTCTAGGTCGAATGTTACTAGTTCCTTCATTTTTCTCTCTTTTTTTCTTTTTTTCCTTTGTTTTCTTTGTTTTGTTTTTAAAAAATTAGCAGAGCCACGATTTCGTCTGAAATGGTGTGATTGGTTTTTCATTTTCTTTCTGTCTGTCCCTCCGACTAGTGTCCTGCTTTAGGTGTTTCTTTTCTGTCTATCAATCACATAGCGAAGTAGAAGTAGACTATGCTCCTTTCCGTCACCCGTTAAACTATCAACTGCTGGGTTTTATGCTTACATCAATAATTAGGTCTTTAAATGGTCGCTTTTAAGGAGAAGCGGGCTAAACCAGATTACAGGGGATTCCAGAAATCTTGAACTACACCAAAAGTAGGCATTGCCCTACCTGTAGGAGAAGTTTGGTTTCATTGTGTGTATATTTGTTTGGTTATAGAGAAAACGCTCCTTGACTTTTAAAGAGACTGAATGAGCATCCAAAAACTTTAGCTTCGATTTTCTCAAAACAGCATTTTTCGGGATAGCCCCCTTGTGCTTAAAAGCGACCAAATAAAAGGTTAGCTTATAATTTTAGAAGCTTCCGTCGACCAAATGTATGATTCTTGACTCCGCTTCATGACTGCCTGTTGGGTGAACCCCGGCTGAGTGGTATTTTTGATCTGGGTCAAAATGAAGAACCTATGTTTCATAAAGTCTTACAACTCCATAAAAAAGGATATCATCTTCTAATCATAATTCAAGGAGTTCTTTGTAACAGTCCACTCTATGGTTGTTGTTTTTTTAAATCTGGTGTCAAAAGTCGATGAACCCAACTTGCAGACACTTCGGATGCGTGAAAATGGTCGTGCAAGATCATTTCTCTATAGAATCTGCGCACATTTACGCAGCGTCTGTTCATTGTTTAACAGAGTATCGTGGATTGTCACGAGCAAGTTTCTATATTAGACACATACGCAACGTTCCAGAAAGATAGAAATCACTTTCTCCAATTGATGTCATCGTTGAAGCTTACCAATCAGAGTCAGAGAAAAGAATTATTGAACGCTCCTCGTATGATATCATATTATCATTTTATAAGTGTGTGAGTGCTTGTGTGTGTGTGTGAGTGTGTGTGTCAGTGCGTGTGTGTGTGTGTGAGTGTGTGTGTGTGTATGTGTGTGTGTGTGTG